GTGTGTGTGTGTATATCCCCATCGCGTTTCGGATACCCTCCCCCCGCTCGACTTTGGTAAGCGTCCTCCCAGAGTGCGATCGCTGCCCCCGCCTCCCCTTCCCAGGGGCCTTTGCGGCTCGCTTTACCCTCATCCGCTCGTACGTGGACTACCCACGTGTGTGCATCTATTCACCTTGCTGTACGAGACTCTGTGTGTGTGTGTGAAACCAAACTGCGTCATTCACTCGTGCGTTTACTGCCCGCCTATGCGAGCACGTTACTTATCTGTTCACCTTCCGTTGTGAGAGTGATTGTTTGTGTGTGAAACTAAGCTATAAGTTTACTTTTAAAAAATTTTCACAGATGTGACGTCACCGCTCACAATATATCCATTATTGCGCCCCCCCCCCCCCAAAAAAAAATACAAAAGTCTATTTTTATTCTTTTTGCGTTGTGTACAGTCTGCAAGCTACCCACATGCCAAATTTCAAGTCTGTTGCATGTTGGGAAGTATGCTAAACGTTTCGAACAGACACACACATATTCACAAATCTCCCTTTTACACGTGTATATTAAGGCCGTGTTTACGAACGAAACGTTCACCAAGTTCGATTCGAATGCCACTCGCCGCCGATGTGTCGTCGTGTCTCCTTCAGGCCCTGTGTAGCATTTCACTCGACAATCCCTTCTGATCTGAAACAAAAATCCAGAAAAATCCCTTCCACACCCCACCCTCCATTCAATCGCCCCCCCCCCCCCCCGCTATTTGCACAGAACCGTGAGAGACGCGACCGCACAAAGACGCTCCATCATCCGCCATTGCATTGCAGCATATCGATGTGGTTATTTACGTGTGTTGTGAAATCTGTCTGAGAAGCCCCTCTGCTGTTGTGTATAGCGTGTTGGGGGGGGGAGGAGGGAGCGCAGTACTCTAACCGGTGCGCCACCGCCCCCCCTATGAATCCCGGCGGGTCCCCGAGTTCGATTCCCGGTCACCGCCAACGTCGCTCGCCAACACCTGAAACCGGTCCTGGGTCCTCCGTCGGGTCGACTCAGCCTCAAATGAGCACCTGGTGCGGCGTGTAAAGCATCGCGCTCGGGAGACGTATAGATGTATGTTGAACTTTTTTTGCACCGTACTTTGCCAGCCGTGATAATCGGGAGGTGTGGGGGAAAGACGACAAAGCAAAAACCCCAAAAAAGTGAAGTATCTGATAACTAAATCGGTTTGAATTGGTTACCGCACAATTCACCATTATTGGATGATGTACGCACATCGCACCGGGCACTCGTTTACGGCCGAGTTGACGCCCAAACTCCCGCGGCAAATTGCGCTCGCCGCAATTGGCTGGCGACGCTCCAAGCGAGGACTGCCACAAACTGAACGCAGGGAAAGGCTGCGACCACCGCCACCAGCCTCGCGCGCCGTACAGGCCTCAAGGGGCGTTCGCAACAGCCCCTTGGCCCAACAGCCTGCTGAAGGATATTACGGGGGGGGGGGCAGCACCACATCTCGGGTACCTTTTTTTTAATAAGTAACTGGGGGGGGGAGCAAAGCGGGGGTTCATTGTTAACGGTGGCCTGCATCCAATTCGAAGCAGGGATTAAGTGACATCCCACAAAACTAATGGGCTAATGCATAGTCATCAGCTGATCTGTGCGTGGGTGGACACCGCACTACTGAATTTTTTTTGTATTTTATTATGTTTTATTTTTATAATTTTATTATTTCTCTTCTACGTGACTTTACCAAAAGAACCAAGAAGATGACTGCACAACTGGTTTGTCCCTGAACGTGACCGATCGTGGGCACGGGCGGGCATCGCCGTGCGGTGCCACGTGTCCGGCTGTCTGCGTTGTAGTAGTTGTAAAAACGAATGTACAATGTAACTGGCGTTGGCACGTACATCTGAAAAGTTACCTGCAGATTACTCGATTGGAATTATGCAGTAGCAGCAGCAACAGCAACAACATCGCCATCTGGTGCAAAACATTGGCAGGACCCTTGAGACTCGGTGCGACTTTCCTGGGTAAAATAATAAATAATGACATGAATATAATAACGTACAGCTCTTTTTAACACATCGCACCTATGACCCATTTAACACATCACACCAAGCACCCATTTGAGGCTGGGTCGACCGAGGAGGGTCACCGAAGCAGCTCAGACATTCGTCGCCGTGTTAAACTGATTCGTCGCCGTTATTGGCCACGAGCGGGAATTGAACTCGGCTTGCCGGGTTGGCGGCGCAGCGAGCCACACGCTGCGCCACCGCGTGTAGTAAACGCACGCACAATTGGTGTGCAGGCGTGTTGTGCGTGTACGCTTGTGCGTGTGTGCGTGTGCGTGTGTGCGTGTGTGCGTGTGCGCTATGAACCTGGCGACCCGAGTTCGATTCCCGCTCACGGCTAACACCAGTGACGATTATCTGAACCGGTCCTAGGCCTCCCCTAGGTCGACTCAGCCTTAAATGAGTACCTGGTGCGGTGTGTAAACATCGCCACTGGAGAGACAAAGG